GTTAAGGGCAAAAGAGTAAATGGGGGGGCGGTGACTAGTAAAAGGGGGGCGGTGAATAGCGATTGAGTTATAATATCATGTGTGTTTTATCTATCTATCTATCTATACTACTCTAAAAGGACGAGTGTTTTTGTAAAAATATGAACTACCTAAAATAACCTTACTTTGACATATTTTTAATGGCAAATTAGTAATACACTAATACACATTTTATTTATATTTTTAATTAAAAAGATGAATTACCTAAAAAAACCCTTACTTTAACATGTTTTTAATGGCAAATAAGTAATACACTAATACCCATCATATCTTATATTTTTAATTAATAACTAATCCTTAATTTATTAAATACAAATACAAGAACAATACATTTCACATCTCCTAAATCCATTCTTTATCACGAAATGGCTTTCTTCCACATATCTCCCAAAAATCAACCCAACATCAACCTAAACAACAAAGTTTTGAAAAGATATAGAATTGTTGTTTTAAAAAAAAATCCTTATTTTTAATATAATTTTATACATTATCTTACAAACTAGCGAAGTTGAAAAATTTCATTTAGCTACTTCATTATTTAAGAAAGTAAACTCTTATATTTAGAACTAGAATAGAAATTGCACTTTAGTCTAGAATATTTGGTTTGTGTAATTGTATTTAATTAATTAAATATTAAATAAGTATTAGTATATTACTAATTTGACATTAAAAATATGTCAAATAAAAAGTTAATATATTTTTTTCATAATAAATTAGAAAAAAAAAGTAAACTGTGTAATAGTATGAGAAATAAATTGTTGAATAATTATTTTGCAACCTAAACTCTAAAATACTAAATTTTTTTACTTAAAATAAGATTATTATAATTTTATGAAATTACATAATACTAAAATCCAATCCATTTTTTAGTCGAATGGGATATTGCTTGAGCAGCATGATTTAAGTTTGATCATATAATTATCTACGAATTAATTAAGATGTCTAGAGAATCATGATATGTTTATACGCTGAAAAAGTGGGCAAGAGAAAGAACCCTTTGTACGTGGTAGAGAACGAACGGACAGAAAATCAAATAAATTAAAAGTCTACTCGGGTCCGCAAAATGAGAAGCAATGGAACGAACCGAATCTGGACGAAGACCGAGCACGATACAGATAGCGTGTCCGAGCAACACCCATCATTACCAGAATATAGTCCGTACGATACGCATTAAATGAGCATGGATTCGACAATCCTTAATCTAATGGCGCTTAGCAGACTGGGCACGTGTCGCAACCCGAGCGAGTTTGCTTTATGGAGATAGTGTTTTATAGTACATTAGCATTAAATGTGGCGTGACTAAATATCTAATTGATATCTTGTAAAGAAAAAAAGGAAAAGAAAACCTGAAATTGGCATGTAATAATGTCCTCACACTTCCTATATAAGGAGGAAGAGGCAACATTAAATGCAATGAGTAAATGCTCTCATTAAATACCAAATAAGTCACGGATAGAGCTTACATTCGTACTGTCTTTTGTACCGAATACCATACAAAATCCCTATTCGTGCAGACCGAACAGAGTATACATTCAAGTATACAGTTCGAACACATTGTTGGTCAATTTTAGACATCAACACCCTTGTTGAAGGCTTCTTCTAGTAAAGCACTTGTTATCTCTAGGCCAGAGGATTAGAATCAATTAACTAGCTGGCGTGGTAGCCATAAAGGAGTCTCATCAATAGCTACAGTGAAGGATCTTATGCTCACTACCCCAGCCCCAGAAGGAGCATTGCTATCTGATTCTAGTTCTGAAGGATTTCTTGAGAACTCTGGTGTGCCATTGAAAGCCATTGTTGAAGGAATGGAAATAGAGGTGATAAAGGAATTAGGAAAGGAGTTGGTTATAGAGGACAATCATGAAGCTAGAAAGGAGACAGGGGGATGCAATTCAGAACCTGGAAAAGAGGTCAGCTAAAAGAAGGGAGATTAATAAGGCAGAAAAGTCTAGTAATTCCCATGGAGGCAAATAGAGGGGTGTTGATACCGAAAATTGATCAACATGGGGGGTTCAGAGGAATTTATTTTGTATTTATTTGTATTGGATTTTTGGTGAATTTCTGAGGATTTTTCAGTATGTTGTTTCTGTATTTCTGTTGAAGAAGGTACAAATGAAAGAAAGCCCAGAGAAAATTGAGGCCGTGCCTCTGTCCCAGATAAGATCGAAATAATAATATCGCCCCTCAGACTTATCTATCCAGGTCCATCATTGGGGTATTTATATATATGTTTAATGGGCCCGATATTATCACAAGTTGTATTATTTAAGGCCCAAAAATATCCCGAAAATAAAATAATTAATATAAAACATATCCACGTGTAATATTATAATAGGTTAGGCCAAAATTTGGTATCAACAAGAGGCCCCCGACTTTAGGGCATGTTTTGAATAAAACTGTTCTGAAGTCGCATGTATTATCTATTTTGGCCGTAATCAATGTTGGCCGGGTACTTTGGGACCCGTGGAGCCAATGATGTGGATAGTCAATTTTTCTGGAACGAGGTCCGGATGGCCTAGTCGGGTAATTTGGTACCCGGCTTTCGCGTTTTTTGCGTGGAACGCAAAACGGGTAATGAATTGCTTTTGTGATTGCAATAATGATATGGATTTGTATGGGTACTCGGGCCCCCGGAATTGTTACCGGATTCGCGGTTCTGTCGTATTAAGACGATGCGATTTGTTGTTTGGTTTGTGATTGTTTTTCTGTATGTGGACCTGGTCGGATAATTCGGTATCCGGTCTTTTATTTTTATTTAGTTATTTCTCGGTCGGGCAGTGTGTTCCCAATCTTTGATGTAATATGTAAGGCGTTAGCCTTGCCAAACCAACTTGAGGGTTTTGGTTAAGAATTTTTCTTATTATTTTTATTTATTTATTTATTTAGATTCGGCTTTTTTACTGTGTCGACATCGGTTAGCCGAATGTTTTTTCGAGATTCGGCCTTTTTACTGTGCCAATGTCGGATAGCCGAATTATTTTAGTTTAATTTTACCGAGCTGAAGAACTCGGTGTAAAATTTTGTTTGTCCCAGCCGGAAAGGTCTTATTGATTTTGCCTAACCAGTGTGGGTTTTATTTTTATGCTCATGTCAAGATGCATGTATGACGCGCGTATGAATGTATGTATGAATGTGTGAATATATGATGATTTCGTGCAATAAATGATTAACACACGAAAAAATAATGTTACCTCGATATTTTGTCGAGTCTGACTTTGTCTGTCGGTAGGTGCTTTGCCGTACCGAAATATTATGTCGGTATCTTTTGTTTCCGACTAAAATATTCAGCATTTTATTTTACTCGCTGAATTTTTAAGAGAACGTCGGCATTTTTAACTGGAATTAGCCACACCAAATCATCTTCAGGACTTGGATGTACTGGGCTGTTACCATGCCGACTTTATTTTTAAGATTCGACTTTTTTACTGTACCGACGTCGGCTAGCCGAATTATTTTTCGAGATTCGGCGTTTTTTACTGTGCCGTCGTTGGTTAGTCGAATTATATTTCAAGAATCTGCCTTTTTACTGTACCGACGTCGGCTAACCGAATTATTTTTCGAGATTCGGCGTTTTTCACTGTGCCGTCGTTGGTTAGCAGACTTATTTTTTGAGAATCTGCCTTTTTACTGTACCGACGTCGGCTAGCCGAATTATATTTTAAGAGTCGGCTTTTTTTACAGTGCCGTCGTCAGTTAGCAGACTTATTTTCATTTTACTTTACCGAGCTGAAGAACTCGGTATAAAAATTTTTATGTTTCCCAGCCGGAAAGGTCTTATTGACTTTGCCTAACCAGTGTGGGCTCAGCCGGAGGAGAAGCTCAACGGCGAGGTAAATATAAATATCAGCTCTACCGGAGTCAGAGCTCAACGGCGAGAAAATATAAAGCCTTCTCAGTCGGAGCAAGAGCTCAACGACGAGGTAATATACGTGTCAACTCAACCGGAGTCGAGGCTCAACGGCGAGGGAATGTAAGTAACAGCTCTGCCGGAGCCAAGGCTCAACGGCGAGAAAATATTAAAATCCTCTCAGTCGGAGCAAAAGCTCAACGACAAGGTAATATGCGTCTCACCTCAGCCGGAGTCGAGGCTCAACGGCGAGAAAATATAAATATAAATTTTAGCTCTGCCGGAGTCAAGGCTCAACGGCAAGCAAATATAAGTGTGAGCTCTGCCGGAGTCAAGGCTCAACGGCGAGCAAATGTAATTTTTAGCTCTACCGGAGTCGAGGCTCAACGGCGAGCAATAATAGGACGTCAGCTCAGCCGGAGTCGTGGCTTCACGGCGAGCAATAATAGGACGTCAGCTCAGCCGGAGTCGTGGCTTCACGGCGAGCAATAATAAGACGTCACAAATAGACGAGCGACTTCGGTTTTAGTGTAGATAAATGAAGTCAGCTCTGGTGTCAATAAATGAATTCAACTTTGATTTAAAGAAACGAACTGGGGCTTGTGGTGAGTAAATAATAAACCGACCTGGTGAGACAGTTCGTCTGTGGGCGTATAATAAATCAGCCCTGTATGAATGAGCTTGGCCACGACTATCGTCGGTTGAAATAAATTTATCCTCGACCATCGTCTTCATGAATAAATGAATTCGGCCTCTTCCTCTTTTTTTATTGTTGTTGTTGTTGTTGGGCCGACTTAAAAGTAACGAGTTAATAGATCGACGGCGGTGTGGTGTAGTCGGGTGTTGAAGGCCCCAATAATAGTGAAGTCGACTATAGTAATCGAGCTTCAGAAATCAGATAATGGAAGGGTCGGCCCTGATATAATTTGAAGATCAGAGACGACGAGCTCGGGTGCGGTTTAAAAATTTAGGATGAAGAATCGATCCCGGTGGCAGATTAAAAACCCGTTGTCTGAATTTGGATACGGCCGAATTGCGAAAAATTTGTCCTCAGTGTCCTCAGCTTGTGTATATGAGCTCGGCCCGGCTAGTATTGATTCGAATAAATAAATCTTGATCCCGGAATGCTACCCAATAGATACATCGGCTTGGTTTTTAGCTACTCCTCTTTTCTTTTGTTTGGGCCAACTTAAGCATAAGGCCCAAATGGATTTTAAATCAGATATCAACTGAGCAATCCGATTTTCACTTCTACATATTTCTCTTTCACATTATTCGCCTCGCAGATAACGATAAAAATCCTTTGAGATAGCTACGACTAGAGGACATGTGATTAAGCTTGAGAAGAATAGATCTCACCGGCGGCAGATTAAAAACCCGGCGGCTCGGAGATCAATGACGTCAAAGTCGATTCCGGCTAGATTTCGCAGCTCGGTTCGCCTACCGAGGTCTCGACAGGGTGAGGTTAGCTGCTGCTTTAAAGTCGTTTTGTGCAACTCAGCAATTGGCCGAAGAAAATGAAATTGGGTCGCAGGTGTGTAAGTCGGCCGTGATTTCATGATCCAGGCTCATGTGGGCCTTTGATTAAAGTTGGCTGATTCCGGCGATTGATGTTGAGGACATTGGGATTGCGACACAGGTAAAGTCGGCGGCTTCAGGGGTCAGGGTCACCGATGTCGGCCCATCGATGATTTCGGAGATCCGAGCTTGTGTCGGTAATTAATTGAAGTCGACTCCGACAATGGAAGGTCGAGAATTGAAAATGTAAAGTCGGTTGTTGAAGTCGGTCCGGCTGCAAAGAGTGTGACCTCATTTAACCGAGTTCGAATTTCAAGCTTCTTCGAGGCCGCGATCTGATTTGAGGTAAGTTCTCGGATGTCGAGCTCCGTAGTGCCGAAGTCGGCTCCAGCTAGCGATGGAACCGAGCTGCACAAGTCGGTTGTTGTAATACATGAGGCTAAAGATGCCGAGGTGCCGGTAAGGTGAAGTCGGTTGTTGCCGATATTGTGATACCGACACTTGAAATCGGTTTTGTGAAACTCGGTAATTGACTGGGAACTCGGCCGGATTGTGAAAAATTCCCTCTCAATAACCGAATTCGCGCTTCGAGGTCGGTGATACCAAGGTCTCGATGACCGACGTCATGTGTCAAGGCGGTTTGATAAGGACGAGGTGGTCCCTGCGATACTGGACAGCAATATCCACGCGTCCTTCAGTGGTAACTTCCACGTATATTTTCATTGACTATTCTCTGTCGATAAGGGCACCGGCTATGTGTAAGCGGTGGATTAACTGAAGTCTTTTTCTTCTTTTTTTTTTTTCTTTTCTTCGTTTTTNAAGAACAGAGGAAACGGAATAGTCATAGTTCCTCTGTGCGCAGCTGTTGTGATGAGGGGAAACGATATAGGAATAGGCGAATTTTTTCTGGATGATGTTTTGAGAAAACACAAACGAAATCGGATATGAAAATGAAAATTGATAGCGTTTGTGGTGTTTAAGCCGGAGAATTGCCTCGAATCAATTACGAGGCCCTCCTTCTAGCGCCAAACTGTTGATACCGAAAATTGATCAACATGGGGGGTTCAGAGGAATTTATTTTGTATTTATTTGTATTGGATTTTTGGTGAATTTCTGAGGATTTTTCAGTATGTTGTTTCTGTATTTCTGTTGAAGAAGGTACAAATGAAAGAAAGACCAGAGAAAATTGAGGCCGTGCCTCTGTCCCAGATAAGATCGAAATAATAATATCGCCCCTCAGACTTATCTATCCAGGTCCATCATTGGGGTATTTATATATATGTTTAATGGGCCCGATATTATCACAAGTTGTATTGTTTAAGGCCCAAAAATATCCCGAAAATAAAATAATTAATATAAAACATATCCACGTGTAATATTATAATAGGTTAGGCCAAAATTTGGTATCAACAAGGGGGTAAAAAGAGCAGAAAGGAAAATCACTTGTGTGAGAATGGACATGAGACTTAGGGAATATTCTGGTGGAGAGTAAGAAACTGAAGCTTTCAGAACATCAGGTGGAAGAGGCCAACCTCGAGTGGCTCCCAAGTGAACAATGAGAGTTGTGGGTTGGAACTGTAGAGGGCTGGGTGGGCCCTGTACAGTTCCCCAAATCAAGGAGTCCTTAAGGACCCACCACCCAACTTTCTTTTTCTTGTAACGTACTAAGCTTAAAGTGGATTTCATAAGGAAAATGAGTAGATCACTGAGGTTGGAGGATAGATGGATAACAGTGGATTCTAAAGGAATAGGGGGAGGCTTGATGTTGTTTTGGAAGAAGAAAGTGGAGATCATACAAATATGCAGTGATGACTTTTTCAATGGGGTGAAATTCAAGAGGCAGGAAGAGGAGAGTAGTCCTTGGGGAGTTTCTATTTATCTGAGTATGGTTAAAGCTATAAAAGAACAGCAGTGGCAGTTCTTAGAACAAGAAAGAATCAAATGGGGTTCCAAATGGTTTATTTTAGGAGATTGGAATGATCTGTGCACAGAGAAAGATAAAAAATAAGGTAGGAAAGAGCTTGGCAGAGTTTTGTGGACTTCAATTCTTTTGTAGCTAAGATGGGGATGTATGAGATTAGAGGAGAAGGTTATCATTTTTCTTCGGGTAATAATAGGGTAGAGGAAGGATTTGTAGAAGAAAGATTGGACAGGGCTTTCTGTTCCTTTGAGTGGTGGGACCAATATCCAAATGCATCATCTTTGAACATTATTAGAACGATCTCAGATCATTCTTTCCTTTTGCTAAATATTGGAGAAGGAAAGGAAAAAAAAAACATAAGAGATTCCAGATTGATTAAAGATGGTTAAAAGAGAAAAGGGTAGGAGAAGTGGTGAAGGAAACATGGGGTCTTTCTCAAACAGGTACTCCAATGTTTAGGGTTAAGGAGAAGTTAGAAAGAACCAGGATTACTTTATTATAGTGGAGCAAGCACTTCAGAAATCAAAGTAAGGAGAAGAATGAGAGATTTTCTTCGGAGAAATGGCAGAAAAAAGAACTGGGAAGCTTGGGAAGGATAAAAGCTGAGTTGGAAAAAACATAGTGTTCAGAAGAGGAATTCAATAGAAGGCTAGAATCATGTGGCTTAAGGAGGGAGATCAAAATTCAAGCTTTTTCCATGCATATACAATGTAAAGAAGAAAGGTAAATGCCAAGGTTGGTGGATGAGCAAAATAGAATTACCAAACTCCTGAGGAGGTTAAGCACCATGTCACTTCCTTTTAAAAGAAACTTTTCACATCAGAGAGAAGCAGTGGTGGAGAGAAAATCCTGCAGCTGATTCCAAACCATGTGGACCAGGAGATGAATGAAGATTCAGTTCTACCAGTAGAGGAAGATCTTATCAAATAAGCCTTATCTAGCCTAAATCCACACAAATCTCCTGGGGAAGATGGGATGACAACTTTGTTTTTCCAACACTTTTGACCCATACTAAATGGAGATCTGGTTACTGTAGTGCAAAGCTTTTTCCAGTCTGGAACTCTCTTGAGGTACTAGAATCATACACTCATAATTTTAATTCCAAAGTGTGATAATCCTGTGAATTTGAGCCAATTTCGGCCAATCAATTTATGTGGAGTTGTCTTTAAAATAATTTCCAAGGTTCTGGCTGTGAGATTGAAGAAGTGTCTTGATGTTTGCATGAGTGATGCCCAAGCTGCTTTCATTCAAGGTAGATAACTTCTAGATAATGTCATTGTAGCAATCGTGAGGCTTTCCATTACTTAAATAGACATAGATCTGGGGGTAATCATTTTATGGCAATCAAAATGGATATGATGAAGGCATATGACCGAGTAGAATGGCAGTGTTTAAAGGAAATTATGTTAGAGATAGGTTTTCAACTCAAATTTGTGCTCTGGATATTGGCTTGTGTGAAGTCTCCTACTTATTCTTTTAATTTTAATGGATCAGTGAAAGATTTTTTTTTTTCTTTTTCAAGAGGGTTGACGCAGGGTGATCCATTATCCCCTTACCTATTCTTGTTGATTTCTGAAGTTCTATCTTGGCTGATAAAGGATGCTATTGAGAGAGGTGAGTATATAGGGTTGAAATTATTAAGGGAGGGTCCTGCTATTTCTCTTCTGTTATTTATAGACGACTCAATCTTTTGCTGCAAGGCAGATGCCCACCAAGCTGTGTTATTGAAGTGCATTCTTTAGACATACCATCTTTTCACTAGGCAAAAGGTCAACTTGAGAAAGTCATCTGTCTTTTTTAGTAGGAATATTACAGTGCAAGTGAAAGATTGTATCTGTATTATTTTTCAAGGGATTGAGACTCACACCTCTACATGGTATCTTGAACTACATTTAGGAAATGTGAGATCTAAGAAGGAGGCTTTTTCTTATATTGTTGAGACAGTGAGATCAAGACTTTTATGCTGGAAGAATAAACTCCTGACCACAGTAGGGAAAGAGGTGTTGATGAAAGCTTATTTAAATGCTTTGCCTGTGTTTGTCATGTCATGCTTTAAGCTACCAATTACTTTGTGCAAAGTGATTGCAGGAGTGTGTGCTCAATTCTGGTGGAGTAAAGGTGAAGACCAACCTTTCAAATGATAAAGTCGTTTTACTAGTAAATACTTTCTAACGATAAAATCGTTTTACTCGTAAATACTTTCAAACTAAAATTTGTTCTACTAGTAAAAACTTTCAAACAAATAAATTGTTCTACTAGTTAAATACTTTCAAACTATAAGTTGTTCTACTAGTAAAAACTTTCAAACAAATAAATTGTTCTACTAGTTAAATACTTTCAAACTATAAAGTTTTAAGGAAGAAAAGAGAATAACTAAAATGACAAAGATAAGTTTTAATAAATGTAAAAGTCTAGGGTATTGGGGATAATCAATTCCGGNNNNA